CCCCCCAGCCTCCCACCCTCCTGGCTTCACCTCGAATTCCCCCACCTGCCGTTACCATCAAGCCCGCGCTGCAGACTCATGGATGCGGCGACCCAATCAGGCTGACTCTGACTCACCTCCGACTCTGACTGGTCCGACTCCGAACCTGCGCCAAGCCCTGTGCCCATCCGAGCTGGAGAGCAGGTGCGGCGAGTGGTGTGTGGCGGCAGTAGCACCTGCGCTTGCCGCCTCTCCTCCCTCACAAACTGGCCCCGTGGGACGACTGCGGAGTGACTCCTCAACCGCTTCCAGCAGCAGCACCAGCAGCAGCAGCAGGAGCAGCAGCAGCAGGAGCAACCCTCGGTGCCACCCGTTAGGTCCCCACAGCAGCAGCAGCAGCAAGTTTCTGAGCCTCCGTCACAACCCCTGCACGTGCAGCAACAGCAAGAACAGCAGCAGCAACAGGAGCAGCAGCAACAGGAGCAGCAACAACAACAGCAGCACGTTCTTACTGATGCTCCTGCTCAACTTGTGACTGTTACAGGTGTGGTTGACTCTGATATTGCGGCTGATGCTTCTGCTGCAGCTGAGGATGAATACGTTCCTGAAAACTCTGGTGATTTGGCAGCAGAGCCAGGAGCAGCAGCAACAACAACAGGGGCAGAAACGGCACTGGCAGTTGTTGCTGGGGATGAGGTTGGAGAGGGAGAGGGGGCAGAGACGGTGCAAGGAGGAAGAGGTGCAGTCAGGTGAATTTTCAGGGTGGAGAGGTGTTACAAGGCGACCTGGTTCCGGCTGACGTGGCATCAGACCCATCCACTCCTGTGCCAGCTGACCGTGGCATCAGGCCCATCCACTCCTGTGCCAGCTGACGTGGCATCAGGTCCATCCACTTCTGGTACCAGCTGATATGGCAGCAGATGCACCGTCATTACCTGAACCATCTGTTCATCCAACCAATCGTCTCCTCCTCTCAGCCACTTTCCTCCCCTCAGCCTTCTACTCCTCCTCACCGCACAGCACCTGCCGTTACCATCAAGCCTCGCGCTGCAGACTCATGGATGAAGCGACCCAATCAGGACTCTGACTCAGGCTCGGACCTCTGATTGGTCCGATTCCGAACCTGCGCCCAAGCCCGTGCCCATCCTCGAGCCTGGAGGCCAGGCATGGCAAGCGCAGCGGCAGCAGCACCGACCCCTGCATCTGCCGCCTCTCCTACTGCAGCAGCACCGGCTCCTACTCAAACTGCATCAGTGGGGCGACTGCGGAGTGACTTCCTCAACCGCTTCCAGCAGCAGCCTGAGAAACTCCCTTGTGCCTCCTTTCAGATCTCCACAGCAGCAGCATCAGCAGCTGTTGGCCGTGTCTCCTGGTGAGCAACCCTGCACTCCAGAGGTTGATGCTTCCGTTGGTGCTGCTGCTACAGCTGCTACAACTTGGCATTGCAGCGGAAGCTGCTACTACACCTGCTAGTGCTGCTTCAGTTGTTGCTGCTGCTTCGGCTGCTACAGCTGGCAGTGCTGATTCAGCGAGTGCTGCCGCGACAACTGATAGTGCTTCCTCTGCTGCTGTGGTGGCTGGTGCAACTGCCGTTGCCGGTGCAACAGCTATGGCTGCTGCGGCCTTAGCTGCCACAGCACCTGCTGTCTCGGTGCCCGTGGAACAGGGAGAGGTAGAACAGGGAGAGGGCGTCATTAGCAAGGTAGAGGAGGAGGGGGGTGAGTTTGAAGGCAGAGGAGAGGGTGGGGGAGCATGAGAGCAGAGGGTGTGGAATCTGCGGCTGCTGAAGGTCCGCTGGCTGATGCTGTGGAGGAGTTCTCTGCTGAGGTGGCATCAGAAACTCCTGCTGACGTGCAGTGGAAGCAACGGCTGATGTGGCCACGGAAGCACCTGCTGAGGTGGCAGCGGAAGCACCTGTTGACGTGGCAGCGGAAGCACCTGCTGACGTGACAGCAGAAGCAGCTGCTGACGTGGCATCGGGTGCGGCTGCTGACGTGGCATCGGGAAGCGGCTGCTGAAGTGGCATCGAAAGCACTTGCTGAGGTGGAGGAGCAGGAGAATGAGGCATGGGAGGAAGAGAAGGGGGAAGAGGGTGGAGAAGGAGGAGAGGAGGAAAACGAGGAGGATGAAAAAGAAGAGGAAGAAACGAAAGAAACAAAGGAGAAGAATTGGAGAATGAGGAGGCGGAGGTAGAGGAGGAGGGTGCAGAAGCTGGGGAGGCTGCGGAGGGGGAGGAGGGTGCAGGGGAAGAGGAGGAAGGAGGGAGTGAGGCAGGAGAGGAATCCACTGAGGAGGTGACTGTAGAAGTGACAGAGGAATATGAGGAGGTGACTGTAGAGGAAACGGAGGAGTATGAAGAAGTGACAGTCGAAGTGACAGAGGAATATGAGGAAGTGACTGTAGAAGTGGAAGAAACGGGAGAATATGAGGAAGTGACTGTAGAAGTGGAAGAAACGGGAGAATATGAGGAGGTGACTGTAGAAGAAACGGCGGAATACGAGGAGGTAACTTGTAGAGGTAACAGAAGAATACACTGAAGAGGAAGTTACTGTAGAAGTTACAGAGGAGTATACAGAAGAGGAGGTTACTGTAGAGGTTACAGAGGAAGTCACAGACGAGGATAAATCAGAGGAGGTGGCAGAGGAGGGAGCAGGTGCAGCAGGTGGAAAAGAAGGAGAAAGCGCAGAGGGACAAGATTCGGAAGGGGAGCAAACAGGAGGAAGAGCAGGAGGAGGAACAGGAGGAGGAGCAGGAGGAGGACTATGAAGAGTATGAGGAGCAGGAAGAGGAAGAAGAGGAAGAGGAGGAGGAAGAGGAGGAGGAGGAGGCAAGTGAAAAAGAGAGCACAAAACAGCAGCCCGAGGAGCAAGCCAGAGGAGAAGGAAGAGGAGGAGGACGAGGAAGCGAGGATAAAGCGGCAGGAGCAGGAGGAGAGGAACGCGGAGGAGCAGCGTGCGCTGCGGCTGCGTGTGGCGAGCATGAAGCGGTTCAATGCGGTGCTGGGGGAGCTCAGATTCCGCCAGGGCATCCGCGAGGAGGGGGAGGGGAGGGCGGCACAGGGGGGGGCGGAGGGGGAGGAGCAGGGGCGGGTGAGGGGAGCGGGACGGGCGCTGTCTGGGGACAGGAGGTGGAGGTGCTGTGGGGCAAGCGGGGGGAGCAGCAGCAGGAGTGGCTCCTATTGCGCTTCCGGCCATGGCAGGTGCTGCTGGTCGGCAGCAGCCCGATCCTCACAGTCCGGGCAAGGTGAGCTGCATGTTTCTGCGTACTCTATTCTGACCTCCTCGCTCTTACCACTTGTAGATAGCCTCGAAGTCCCAACCCCCTCATTTTACCAATGTCGTGACAACCTTTCCCTTTCTTCTCGCTCTTTTCCTCCACCCCTTCCACCCCCTTTGCAGCGATCGCAGGATGCTGTCGCTGGTGGCGTCACAGGGCCTGCACGTGCCGGCCAGTGCAGTGACTCGCGAGATCATGGGCTCACAGGGGGGAGTGCCGGCTGGGGGCGAGCCGCAGTATGGTATCCTGGGACATAATGCTCACTCACCCGTGTTGCTTCCCTTACCCCCCTTTCATTGCTTGCAGCGATCGCGTATGCTGTCGCTGGTGGCGTCACAGGGCCTTCACGTCCTGGCCAGTGCAATGACTCAGGAGATCATGGGTGCTCACAGGGGGGAGTGCTTGGTGTTGCGCGTACCTCTTAACCATCCCTTCCATCTCCCAATCTTGTGTCTCTTCTCCCTCTCCCCCCCTTGCAGCGTTCACTGGATGCTCTCTCTGGTGGCGTCCACAGGGCCTGCATGTGCCGGCCAGTGCAATGACTCGAGAGATCATGGGACTCACAGGAGGGAGTGCTGGTGCTGCTGATACCTGTTAACCATTTCTCTCCTCTCTCTCACTCTTCGCATCTTCCCTTCGAACTTGCAGCGTTCACGGATGCTCTCTCTGGTGGCGTCACAGGGCCTGCATGTGCCGGCCAGTGCAGTGACTCGAGAGATCATGGGACTCACAGGAGGGAGTGCTGGTGCTGCTGATACCTGTTAACCATTTCTCCTCTCTCTCACTCTTCGCATCTTCCCTTCGAACTTGCAGCGTTCACGGATGCTCTCTCTGGTGGCGTCACAGGGCCTGCATGTGCCGGCCAGTGCAGTGACTCGAGAGATCATGGGACTCACAGGAGGGAGTGCTGGTGCTGCTGATACCTGTTTACCATTTCTCCTCTCTCTCACTCTTCGCATCTTCCCTTCGAACTTGCAGCGATCGCGGATGCTCTCTCTGGTGGCGTCACAGGGCCTACACGTCTCGGCCAGTGCAGTGACTCGCGAGATCATGGGACTAACAGGGGGGTTGCTGGTGTTGCGCGTCCCTCTTAACCATCCCTTCCGTCTCCCACTCTCGGTGTCTCTTGTCCCTCCTCCCCCCCCGTCACAGCGGTCACGCATGCTGTCGCTGGTGGCGTCACAGGGTCTGCATGTGCCGGCCAGTGCAGTGACTCGGGAGATCATGGGGCTCACAGGGGGGGAGTGCTGGGCTGGGGAGTCGGAGCATGGTGGTTCGGGACAGCATGGGGCGTGCGGGAGGAGGTGGTTTTAACCTGGGGCTGAGTCGCAGTATGGTGAAGGAACGAAAGCAGCCTTCGTTGCTGGATAGTAGTGGTAGCGAGGAGGAAGAGGAGGAAGAGGAGGAGGAGGAAGAGGAGGAAGAGGAGGAAGAGGAGGAAGAGGAGGTGGAGGAGGAGGAGGAGGAAGAGGATGATAATGATGAGGAGGGTGAGGGTGGAGCAGAGGAAGGGGAGGGAGAAGAAGAGGAAGAGGAAGAAGAGGAGGGGGAGGAGGAAGAGTATGGAGAGGCGGCGGAGGAGGAGGAAGCAGGGGGAGAGGGAGGAGACGAGGGAGAGGAGGAGGAGGAGGAGGATGCACAGGAGGAAGTAGATGGAGTGGATCAAAAGAGAATGAGGAAAGCGCGGAGGAGGAAGAGAAGGAGGAGAACGAGGAGAATGAGGAGCAGGAGGACTTAGAGCACGAAGATATGGAGGTTGGGGGCGAGGCGACTTGGAAGATGGAGGGAGCGGAGGAGGGTCCAGGTGAAGGGGAGTCAGCTGAGGAGGACGATGAGAGCAATGAGGAGAAGAGGAGGAGGAGTAGAGCAGGAGGACCTGGAGGAGAACGCAGCCGGACACACGGATATGGAGGTCAGGGGCGAGGAGTCTTGGGACATGGAGGCTGAGGAGGGCCCAGGTGAGGAGGAAGAGGAGAATGAGAAGTAGAGCACGAGACAGAGCACACCGATATGGAGATCAGGGGCGATGAGTCTTGGGACTTGGAGGAGGCTGAGGATGCTCCCGCTGAGGATGCTCCCAACCGAGGACACTCCAGCTGAGGAGAGCCCAGCTGAGGCAGGAGGAGGAGCGGATGAGGAAGCAGGCAGTGATTCTGCCAAAGACCCCCTGCTGCTGAATGTGTCTGAGGGTGAGGGGCGTGTGAAGGCCCTTGCTGCTGCTATGCTGTCGCCTACTGCTACTGCTGCTGATACCACCACTGCATCCCCTAAAGAGGCGGTGGCGTTAGGTGTTGCTGGGGGGCGTGTGAAGGCTCTTGCTGTTGTGGTGGCGTCTGCTGCTGCTGATACCACCAGTGCACCCTCTAACAAGGCTGCGACTGTGGACGTTTCTGCTGGGAGGGTGAAAGCACTGGCTGCTGTGGTGGCTTCATCTGCATCTGCTGACGCCACCAGTGCACCCTCTAAGGAACCGGCGACTCTGAATGTTGCAGAGGGGCGTGTGAAGGCTCTTGCTGCTGTGGTGGCGTCTGCAACTCCTGACACCACAGCTGCAGCCCCGAAAGAGGCAGCAACTATAAATGTTCCTGGCGGGCATGTGAAAGCTCTTGCTGCCGTGGTTGCGTCAACTGCTGCTCCTGCTGACGCCACCAGTGCATCCCCCAAAGCGGCGGCGGCTGTAGATATCGCTGGCGGGCATGTGAAAGCTCTGGCTGCTGTGGTGGCGTCTGTGGGTGCTGCTGGTGCCACCAGTGCACCCTCTAACGAGTCAGCGGGTCTAGATGTTGCTGGTGGGCGTGTGAAGGCTCTTGCTGCCTTTGCGGCTGCTCCTGCTGCTGATGATACCACCAGTGCACCCTCTAAAGAGTCACCGGGTCTAGATATTGCTGGGGGGAGGGTGAAGGCGCTGGCTGCTGCGGTGGCATCCACTGCTGCTGCTGACGCCACCAGTGCACCCCCTAAAGAGGTGGTGGTGACTGGAGACGTTTGCTGAGGGATGGGGTGAAGGCTCTTGCTCCCTCTGTGGCTGCTCTTGCTGCTGCTGATACCACCCATTGCACCCCTTGAAGAGGCAGCGGCTCTAGATGTTGCAGAGGGGCGTGTGAAGGCTCTTGCTGCTGTGGTGGCTTCTGTGGCAGCTGCTGACTCTGTCAGTGCAACGCCTAAAGGTGTGGCGAATCCTGATTTTGCAGAGGGGCGTGTGAAGGCTCTTGCTGCTCGGGCTGCCTCTGCTGCTGCAAACAACAGTGCTGAAAGCACCGGCGGTGCTTCAAAGGACTTGGTCTCTCTGGAGGTTGGAGAGGGGCGGGTGAGAGAGCTCGCTGCTATGGCTGCCTCTGCTGCTGCCAACAGCAGTGCAACCGCCAGTGCTGCTTCAAATGACCCCTCTCTGGATGTTGCTGGGGGGAGAGTGAGAGAGCTCGCTGCTCTGGCTGCCTCTGCTGCTGCCAATAACAGTGCTGAAACTGCTGACAGTGCTCCAAAGGACTCCTCTCTGGACGCTGGTGAGGGCCGTGTGAAGGCCCTGGCTGCTCTTGCTTCCACTGGTGCTACCTCTGGTAACAATGTTAGTCAAGGCCAATCTAATAGCAATGGTGAACCCACCACGCTGTACGGCAATGACAAGAGCATCCAGCAGCAGCAGCAGCAGCACTACCCTGCTCCCTCCCCACGCCTCATCCACCGTCCCTACTCCCCGTCACCGCGCTCCATCCCTCACTCCCCATCCGCCCATCTCCCCTGCTACACTCGCTGCCCCTCCACCCATCTCGTGAGCCCCATTCGCCCCCGAAGAAGCTTCAGCCCTAGTAGGTTCCGGGCATTTGATGCTGCAGCAGTGGCAGCAGCAGCCTTGTCAGGAGTTTCCCCTCAGCGCCGCCGCTCCCCTTCGCCGAACCTCCCACGTTATTCCGCCTCTCCGGGGGCTTATCCTAGCGGCTTTCCCATCCGAACCTCGTCTGTGAGCCCGAGCCAGTCACCCATGGCCCGAGGCCTGCCTCCACGGCTGCCGCCGAGGTTCGGCAGCAGCGTGAGGTTTGGTGGGGTGCGAGGGACCCGAGGTTTGGCGAGTTCCGTGATTCGTCGAGAGATTCAGATTTCCGCGAGGGGGCGGGGAGGAGAGGTGCTGGCATGGGGGAGGTAGGGGGAGGTGGAGCAGGAGGGGTTGGGGTTTGGGGAGTGGGGGAGGGAGTGGGGGATACAGCAAATCTCGGTCGTTGGATCGACAGATAATGGTGGGATCACCAGGAGGGATGGTGGGAGGCGCGGGGGATGTGCTTATAACGAAGGGCAGTGGCGGCGGCATGGAGGGAGAAGGGCATGAGGGGGAAATGCTGGGGGATGATGCAGAAAACGAGGAGGAGAGAGAGGAGGAAGATGAAGGGGAGGATGAGGACGATGAGGAGGAGGGAGAGGAGGAGCGAGAGGAGAAGGGTCCACCTAGTGAGGGTATGCAGACACAAGGGCCAGCAGCTGCAACAGTGCCTTCAAGCGAGGCCAACGGGATTGCTGGCAGTGGCAAGACATGGAAAGACATTCTTCTCTCTGTGAAAGCAGCGTCTCAGCCCGGAAGAGCTGTTCCCGGTTCTAATGCAGGGAGACAAGAGGGTGTGGGTGTTTCTGCCCTGGCAGCTGTAGCGGCAGAGGTTGTAACGGGAATGGACGGAGGCAGGGAGGGAGGGGTGGGTGATGTGGCTGGGGTGTTGGGGAATGGAGCATTGGTGTTTGGTGCAGTTGATGTGGTCGGGGGGACAGCAGGGAAGTCGGTGGGGGCGATTGGAGAAATGCATGGGGAGGCGTGCCGGCAGGAGGGATGGAAGAGGGCGAGAAGCGTTGCAACTGGAGTAATGGCGACTGGTGGGGTGATGGCAGGTGGGCAGCAGCATTCGATTTACAGAGGGATAGCAGAGGGAGAAGAGGAGGGAGGGATGGAGAACGAAAAGGACGGACCAGCTGTGGTAGAAGGGGAAGTTGTTGGGGGGGTTGGAGCAGAAAAGAGGCAGCAGAGGGAGATTTTGCAGCTGCAAACAGCAACACGGGTGCAGAGGGGAGAGGGAGGGTGGAGGAGTGGGGGGGGCAGAGCCCCATGAGGGAGCTTCTGGGGGCGTTGGAGTCTCCCACCAGATGGGCTCACTTGTGTGCCAAGATGGAGCAGCAGAGGCAGCTGTATGAAGCCCAAGGTGAGCCTTATGTGTGCCTTATGAATCTCAAGGTGAGCCTTATGTGGGAGAGGATAGTGTGTAACAGTGTCAAGCTGCTGGGTGCGTTGGAGTCTCCTACCAGATGGCCTCACCTGTGTGCCAAGATGGAGCAGCAGAGGCAGCTGTATGAAGCCCAAGGTATGCTGATGCAACCGCTTGAAAGCCTTCATTATTGCGCTGCTGCCACTTTTCGTTCCTGTCTTGTTTTCTTGTGTTGTTGCTCATCCTTCTCCTCCTTCCATCTCTTGTTCGGTCATCTCCTCGCTCCCTTCTTTCGCTTTTCCCATCAGACGATTCTCGAGCCACCCACCTATCAGACCTGCCGGACAAGTTCATCGTTCAGATGCTCTCTAATCCCCCTCCCTACGATTCATCATGCAAATCAATTCTTATTTCTCCACCTTACTCACCCTCCTGCTCCCACCAGACGACTCAAGAGCCACCCAGCTATCAGACCTGCCGGACGAGTTCATCGTCCAGATCCTCTCTCGCCTCACCGACCCGCTCGACTGGACGGCGTGTCTCGTCCTATCCAGACGCTTCGCCGCCCTCTCCTGCCTCGCGCTGCAAGCCCTCTACCTCCTCCCGAACCGCCTGCTCCCCAAGCCTCTGCTGGCTCGGTACCTAGCCTGTTACCCGAACCTGGCAGTGCTGTATCTGCCCTGGAACAGCGTGGAGGTGGAGGGAGATGATGTTTTCGAGATGATTGCTTTATCCAGATTGGAGCTGCAGGCTCTGCATGTCGATGTCTTCCCTGGTTACAATGTAAGCTGGTGTCTCAGAGTCCTGTGGTGTGTTCTTCCATGGGTTTCCTTGCAAGTATGTATGCTTGCTGTTGGCGCCGTTGAGGAATGGCCTAGAATTCTGTTTAGGTATTTTGTGCTAGTCTTTGCTATTCTTTTAAGATTTCTCCTTCCTCCTGCATACTCTCATCACTTCCCCATCTCTCTTCTTTCCCTCTCCCCCCATCACCAACAGGAGCGCTCTTACGCAAGAACACCAGCAGGCCTCACCACCCTCTTCACTGCCCTCCCCTCCCTCCGCTATCTCGCCCTCTGCACCGGCCGATACATCCGCTCCCTCCCAGCCTCCATCGCCCGTCTTTCCCTCTTAGAGGAGCTGCTTATAATGAATCAGTCTTCTAAGCTTGGTTTGCGGTCTCTTCCGCCTGCCCTCGGTCAGCTTTCGAATCTTCGCCGCCTGGTGCTCGATTCCTGTCTACAGCTTCCTACGCTGCCCGAGGAAATCGGGCAGCTGACTGGATTGGAGGAGCTGGAGCTGCTGAGCCTGGATTGTTTACGCCAGCTGCCCGAATCTATCGGGCAGCTTCAGTGCCTGAAGTGGTTCAAGATGTGCTGGTGCATGTCGGTCCGCAACCTGCCCGAGAGCATCGGGCAGCTGAAAGAATTGGAGGAGATGGTCATCAACATGGCAGCAAGTGAAACGTGGCTGGGCAGCTTGAAAGAGCTTCCGCAATCTTTCGGTCAGCTCTACTCCCTGCGGTTCCTGAAGATTGTCGGCTGCCCGTTGATGCTGGATCTGCCCGAATGTTTTGGGCAGCTTTATCAGCTTGAAGAATTTGTTTTTGACAACAAGGGCTTTGCAGAGGAGTCCGAAGCCTGCGGACTTTTATCCCTGCCCGACTCCTTCGGGCAGCTGACAAGTCTCGTGCGATTGGAGCTCCGCAACTGCTTCGCCCTCACCTCTCTGCCCGAATCTCTCGGGCACCTTCCGTACCTCTACTCGCTCAAGCTCATTGGCTGCTATTCTCTCGCCACGCTGCCCGAATCTCTGGGCAGCTCAGGCAGCCTCCAGCTGCTTCTTGTGGATAACAAGGTGGATGATGATGAGGATGAAGAGGAGGATGGGGATGGGGATGAGGATGGGGAGGAGGATGGGATGAGCATAGTGAGCCATTCAACGGCCATGGACATGCACATGAGCATGAACGGCACTGACGATACCGCTGCTAGCGATGACGGCGCGAGCACCGGCAGAAACGAGGACGGAGAGAATCACGACAATGGTCATTATGACAATAACGGCCATAATGAGGAGGAGGACGAGGAGGATGAGGAGGACGATGATGACGATGATGGTCCGAGCGGTCTGCTCGCCCTGCCGTCATCCATGGGTATCACCCCATCAGCCATGTGCAACCTCCGTCAGCTGGTCCTGCGAGCCAACGTCTCCCTCACCACCCTCCCGCCTGCCTTCTTCTCCCTCCACCTTCTTGAAAGCCTCGTTCTCGACTTCACAGAGACCAGAAATCGGGAATCTTTCTCGGACCCACCTGCCAGCCGCCTGGGGTCCAGATCAGCGTCTCAAGCGTCGCTCTCAGGAAGCGGTGCAGTTGGCTTGGGCAGCGATGCGGTTACCACGGAGACAGGCAGTGCGATGAACTCTTCCCTGATGTTGATTTTGCCGGCTGACTTGCCAACCACACTGGAGAAGAAATCCAAGCCTGCGGGAATAGCTGAGCTTCCAGAGGAGATTTCACAGCTGGTTAATCTTCGACGGTTGGATTTGATTGGCTGCTCGAAGCTTTCCAAGCTGCCCGAATCCCTGGGCAGCCTCCAGTTCCTGCAGAGGCTGGTGGTTGCATTCTGTCCGGCCATTCAGGCCCTCCCGGCTGGCGTCGGGCAGCTGAAATTCCTCCAGACGTTTGTTGTTCAGAACTGCCCGAATCTGCGGCACCTGCCCGAATCGTTAACAGCACTGGCAGGGCTGCCCGAGCTGTGCATAGATGAGAAATCTGTGGGCGTGAAGATTCCAGACCATTTGTTGAGGCTGCCCGGTTTCCGCCGTGACAGCTGTTTCTTTGAAGACCGGCTCTTCATTGACTTAATTGAGTGATTTGATGGGGTTCTTGACCCTTGTGTTCGCTATGTGTTTAGGTACATCTTACAGGCCTGTTGTACAGTGATTGATGTTCAATAATAGACCCTTTACAGTATTTTCTATTCGAGTGAGAAATTATGACATTGCGATGATATCAACGTAGTTGGTATGACTCCTAGCATAGCATGCACCATCATACTGTAATCATAACCAGCACAATTCTCCTGCTGAGATGGAGTATCAGGAGAACTCCATAGTCCTGATGTGATAGTGTAAAATAGTTAGTTACATCCTGGAGTTTGCCTTGACGTATGGGACCACGCCCTTAGGTGCATATTGCGCTGCATACAATTTCGGTGTCACATTTGACGTCACTGGGACCAACGCTTCTCCTCCGACCGCGACCATCTGAGTCAGACACCCGGTTCGCCACTCCGCGCGATTGTCGGACACAGAGTGTAACGCGCACGTCTTGAGGTTTGTTTTAGTGCCGTGTTGGCCGGGGCAGGTGCGGTTCTCGAGAGCCCTCCTCGTGCGGGGCACATACCTGGGTCGAGCCCCTGGGGGACATCAGGGAGGGAGTAAGATACTTAGCTTTCTGCGAAACGAGTAACTGAACAACATCACGGAGAAATGCCTTGTAATGATAATGCGAATGACGGAAACGCGCGTACCTTCAGCAGCGAGGAACAGGGCGAGCAGGACAAAGGGGACGAGGAGCTTGCGGGATGCCATGAATATCACCAATGCCGAGAGCTAGAGAAGATGGCGAGTACTACGATGAATAACAATGCGAGCTGGGGGATGGAAATTGAAAGAGATGCGAGTTTGTAATGGATTGGTTGAGATGCGAATTATCGAGAATCAAGAGTCGCTTTTATAACTAAAAGCCGTTCGCGCCTCGACGTGCCATTTTTTGCAAGGACGGCAACAAGAATAAGCGATTGGTACTGAAAAGCTCGACGAAGCATTCGCGGCTTGCACGCGTGGCATGGCAGCACATTGGCTCGCTGGAGTTATCACAGATCGGCATTGAGCTATGGCGAAGAAACCCGTGTTCGAATGGACGTGATTGGAGGAGCATCTGTGTTTTGCTCATACATCCGTTTGCTCGCTACCTTCGAGGAAATCAGTACGGACGAGAGGATGGAAGAGCATATAGAGGGCGTGTTCCGCGAACACAAAAATTGATTGCCGCTGCTTACGAAACGCTTCTCATCTCTGGTTCGTGGGGTGCAAAATGTGAAGAGTTTAACGGTGGTTTACTGTTTGATGCTCTCTACCGACTGCTACTTTGTGTAATTGACGAGAGTGCTCGTTACCAACTTATGAGTTATGAGTTTTACTAGACAGAGTGCGCGGAAGACTTTATAAAAAGGATGTCGAATACAGAATGTCGAGAATGATAAAGAAGCAAGCATTTATAGGGTCTAAACCGTGCTAGGCGAGGACCTCGGGACGTGGATGGGTTGGAAGTGTCGCGATTGGTGCGGAGCGACTCGTCGGTGGTTCGGTCCGAAATGTAGGCCGAACCTCGAAACTGACGCGAAGTGCTCGGGGTTGTCCTCGCTAGGAACAGCCTCTACAGTAATGAATTCATATTCATTACACTCTCCCACCTTCTAAATAAGGTCCCCTTATCCGTAGACGAGTCGTGCAGTAGTGTGAAAACTGCAGATCTCGGTTGAAACTGATCTGACGGTGTAGAAGTCGTTGACTGTCAAGTTGACGCGTGGCTGAACGCGTTGACCATGCGAAATTCAAAGAGTTGGAATGTCAGCCGTTGATACTGCCGATAACGATCGGGCGGTTGAATTCGAATGTCGAGTTGAAAAGTCGTTAATGAATGAGAGTCGTCGATGTGGTGGATCTCTGTCGGACGGTCAAGATGAACACGTCGTGGGCGGGAATGCTGACGCGTTGTCAGAAGTCGATGAAGCAGGACCCGTCGATGTCGTCCATGTGATTGCGAGGGTCCGTCGTGCTGGATCTGTCAGACGAGATGTCAGAAAATACTGACAAGTACAGTGCGAGAGCACTTTCTCCCTCCCTTTGGAAAAGATTGCCACCCAAAAATCTCCGCGTGGCAGCACCGAATCACCTTGCTGCCGCAGTATCTTCAGTTGTCAGCTGCTGCATTCCCGAAATTGCTGTCGTTTGTCTTGCTGCAGTGTCGAAAATCCTCATTGTAGCTTCTCCAGCTGTCGGCGCCCCTGGAAGTCTTGTCCAGACTCGCCGAGGCTTTTGTCGATATTCGCCGAGAAGTACCGGGCAGAGGCGAAAAACAGCTGCTGCTCTTCCCCCTGACCTCGCAAATATTTTTTCAAAGTTGAACTTGAACTGTCGATGACGTCAGCTACCTTATCGGTGTTGTCGTGACTCGCCGAAAACCTCCGGGCAGGGGCGAAAACAGCTGTCGCCTTCTCCCCCCACCTGTTGCAAAATTTTCCCTCGTGTTGCGGCTGGTAACCCCGAGCAGCTTCCGATTTGAACGGCTACACACTTTGACGACGAGTGCCTTCACGCGCTTAATCAAGCAACGCTGCAGTCGGCCGTCGGCACGGATACTGTCAGCGACCGCGCTGACTCCGTTAAAAACTCTTTTCGGAACTGCTGGGTCCACCCTGTCAGAACATTATAGCTTATATATATTTGTGTAGGCTATAGTGGGGTATCCCATAGGGGGTACAACCCAATCAGGGTTTCCTATATGTACTCACTTCATTCATAGTTGATTCATTCTCGTTCACTTCTTCTCATGGTATCGAGCAGGTTCCCCTGTGGGAACTGTGCTTAGGGCCCACCACTACTTCGAACTTTTTTTTTCTGCCCGGAGCGCACTCCGGGCTCTCTCTTACTCTGTCGACTGGCCTTTAGCCGCCCGCGCCCTGCCTGTTCAGGCCTCACGCCGCCAGCGCGCCGCCCTAGACGCTAGCACGCCGCCCGTCCAGGCCCTGTGCAGCCCGCGCGCCGCCCTTTGCAGCTCGCGCACCGCCCTTAGCAGCCCGCGCGCCACCCTAAGCGGCCCGCGCGCCGCCCTAATCAGCCCGCGCGCCGCTCGCTAGGCCCCAGGCAGCCCACACGCCGTCCGCGCGTCGCCCTTAGCCGCCCGACGAGCCGCCCGTGAGCCGCCCGTGGGCCGCCCGTCAGCCGCCCGTGAGCCGTCAGTGCGCCGCCCGACGCGCCGCCCGTGCACCGCCCTCGGCTGCCCGTGAGCTGCACCGCCCGTGCGCCGCCCGTCAGCCGCCCTCAGCCGCCCTCGGACGCCCGTGAGTCGCCCGTGCAGCCGCCCGTGCAGCCGCCTGTCAAGCCGCCCGTGCAGCCGCCCGTGCAGCCGCCCGTCGTGCCGCCCATGAGCCGCCAGTGCCGCCCGTGCAGCCGCTCGTACATCCGCCCGTGAGCCGCCCGTGAGCCGCCCGTGAGCAGCCCGTCACGCCGCCCGCGCCGCCCGTGTCCCTGCGTCACCCGAGCCGCGCGCGCTGCCCGAGCAGCAGAGCCGCCCGAGTCGCCCGTGCCGCTGAACGCCCGAGCCGCCCAAGCCGCCCGAGCCGCCCTAGCCGCCCGAGCCGCCCGAGCCGCCCGAGCCGCCCGAGCCGCCCGAGCCGCCTACGTGCCGAGCGCCGGGTCCTGTGGGGCTGCTGCTACTCCTGGGCCGGCGGAGTTGCTGAGCTGCCGTGTTGCTGTTCTACTGAGCTGCTCGACCCTTCCTGTCTGGTGAGACTGTCGGCTGCTATCATGGCCACCCCTAGTGTCCTGGCCTTTGACGCTGAGGGTCGCGCCATTGACTTTGCGGTCTGGGTCAAGGACCTGCAGCTGTACTTGCAGTGCGATTCAGTAGACGACATCTCTCTCTTTGACTTTGCCTCTGGCGCTGTCCCTGCCCCTCCTGCTGATGCTGACCCCACTGTTCGCTCCAAGTGGGCCACACGCGCGTCGCCACCTCCCTTCCTCTGAGCGTGCACACTTTAGTCAGTGCAAGACCGCTCAGGCCTTGTACGACGCTGTAGTTGCGCGCTACTCCTCCCCTTCCACTGCTACACTGAGCCGCCTCATGCTACCTTACCTCTTCCCTGACCTTGCTGCCTTTCCTACAGTCGCTGACCTCTTTACCCACCTGCGCGCTAGTGACACTCGCTACCGAGCTGCGCTTCCAGCTGCCTTCTGCGCCGAAAAAACCCCCTCCCATGTACATCACCCTCTACTTTCTAGTCACCCGTCTCCCTGAGTCCCTTCGTGCTGTTCGGGACCAGTTTCTCTCTGTCTGTCCCACCACCCTCACTGTCGACCTCCTCAAGAAGTCCCTACTAGCGGCCGAGAAGAGCATAGTCGCTGTAGGGGCCTCTCGTGGTGACCCCCGCACCCCCATCTTTGAGGGGTGTTCTCCTTCCCCCCTGTTACCCTCTGTCGCCTCTGCTGCTGCGGCCGACCTCGTTGGTCTAGAGTCGGTCGGAGCGGCGTCTGCCCCCAGCGGTAGGCGCCGCTCTGGCAAGGGCAAGGGGGGCAAGGGAGCGGGTGGAGCTGGCGGGGGCGGTGGCGGAGGAGGTGGGGGCGGCGGGGGGAGTGGGGGTGGCGGTGGAGGTGGGGGCGGGGGTGGAGGTACTAGTGGCGGCAGTGGAGGCGGAGGTGGTGGCGGAGGTGGCGGTGGAGGTGGCGGTGGGAGCGGCGGGGGCGAGGGTGGCGGTGGCGGCGGTGGCGGCGGAGGCGGGGGTGGCGGTGGTGGAGGTGGTCGGAGTGGCTCGTCCCAGCGGAGCAGCACTGGGGGTGGTCAGCGCCAGCAGCAGCAGCAGCAGCAGCAGCAGCAGCGCTCTCGCGACGTCCCCGCCCCTCAGCAGCTCCGTGAGTGGTACTTGCAGCGTCAGCGTGGTGGGGCGTTCGGTCCCTGCACCTACGTCCTTCGCACCGGCGACCGCGCGGGTGAGCAGTGTGGGGGCACCCACACCGCCCGCCGCTGCTTTGCACGCCTGATCGACGCTTGGCGCCAGCAGTTTCCGGAGGCCTCTGAGATCCCCCGCTGG